GGAAAACAAATGCGGTTTAAGTCTCTTCCGTGATAATGTAAGATATGGCTGCACAATGATAGAAATTCCTGGATTCTTAGAACAGTGGCAATCTGTGTTTAGGTATTACTGAGGCATTCTCCAGGGCCTTTCAACTCACATTTATAAATATTTAACACTGAGATATATATGAATCCTCCACTGAAGAGGAACATAGATAAAAATGAACAACAACAACTAAAAAGGCTAGTGGAAAAAATGAAAACATTTATTCATGTAAACACTTTCTCTTGATCCAATCCAGCTCATGCTCATCTTTTCTGAATCATTAAGCCTCCCAGTTGTCTGTGTGCAGCTTCACAACTGCTACCGCCAGGGAGGAAAAAAATGCGCCCTAAAGAAAATATGTGAAGTCAGCAACAGAAGGGTTTTAGGGTGGGAAGGGCGGAGGATGGTGACGAGTGAGGACGTGTAAGACCATTAAACCTGCACGTGCTAGTCTGGCAGGGCCATTCCTTCCATGGAGGAGGGGCACAAGGATTCTCGTCACGGCTACTTGGGGTGACCGATGGGCTCTACGGGTAACCCCAGCTGGGCTTCTCTTTCTGGGCCCTCTCCATGTTCTCCCCTCTAGTGAAGCCGCTTGGTTCTTTTTGAGAGTCCTCTGCAGCAAAGGAAAATAAGTTAGTCTGAGTGTTGTTCACTTTGACTCCTTTTACTTCGGATCTGAATTAAAAATGGTCCTATGTGGAGTCACTTATGAAGGCATTGCAAGAGGTGTTTCTGTTCAAAAAGTGCCAAGCAACTGAAGTCTAGACAAACAAGCTGAATGGTCTTATTGAAAATAGATCTATGTTTGCATTATGCATATTGTGAGGCTCTCTTTTCTCCCTCCCTTGATGGACTCATGGTTTTTTAATGGGTTTCAAATACTTTCAATACAAACTGATGGCTTGAAGTCTTTTCAGAATATACACAATCTAGCTTCTGTAGTGGTTGAAATATCCTCTCCTCCCTCTCCATTGCTTGCCATTTCCCACTCAATACCCATCTATCTTTTTTTTTTTTTTTTTTTTTTTTTTTTTACCCCCCCCCCTTTTCCTTTAGTTAAAATA